AAAAAATAGGTGCTTATGAATGACAAACAACATCATAAATTTCAGAAAGATACCTTTTAATCAGATGTGAATTTCTGCTTTCCATATCTTCCATTGCGCTCAACACTGCCAGGGCTTGCTCACCAGTTAGGTCCTCTGACATCAATAACAAAGTTGATTTAAGTCTAGAAGCAAAAAAAAAAAAAAGTTTTTGGTTGAAAAACTGAAAATTAGCTTGCAATTTTTTTTTTTTAATAACAGTTCTTGAGTAACAAATAGGAAAAAAAAGAATATAAACAAAAACTGAATTCAATATATAACCCCAGTGTTCTCCCCACATTACTCGAATATAAAATAGTACTGAATAAAGAAAAATATATTGTCTTCTTCAACGAAATTCAGGCCTTAGTATAATCCAATCTTAAACTGTTTGAAAAATAAAGGTAAAGATCTTTTAAGATTTTCAAATAATACAAGGTTATAATGGTTATAAAATACTATGATTCAGTGAAATTATTCAATACTAGAGAGCTAAGAAATGAACAACTGATATTCTGACAATTTCCCAAATGTTGTAAAACTGAATAGGAATCATCTAGGAGTCAATAAACCTGCATAGTATCAGAAATCTCATATACTAAGCACTTGATATAACAGTATAAACTGAAAATTAACAAAGGTGGTCCATTTTGACTATGATTAGTTGTCAGTTGAACTATCCAAAGTAGTGTAGTAATGTTAAGTATCATGATACATGTGTCTTTTAGAATCATTTAGAAAGCAAGCTCAAAACGTGACATCTGAGGATAGGATAAACTAATTGCCTATACACACTGGATAACTCCATGCCATCCTTTCCACCAACCTTTTCAAACATTTCAAAACCAGTTTCTCCACAAATTTTTCCCAACCACTTCAGTCTATATTTTTCTCACTTCTGTCTGCTCACAGCACTATCCATATCACTAATTTTATTGTTTTTTCATAAACTATGTTGTTACGGTATTTACGTATTTCAATTATATCTATCCTCTCAATTGCAATGTAAATTCCTTGAAGACAGAGACTCAGTTAAATCCAACTTTTGTACTGCTTTAGCACTGAGATTTTAATAGTACTTGATGACAAAAAATGGTTCCAATAGTTTGTTTGTATGTGTGTTTCTTTGTTTGTTTTGAGATGGAGTCTCACTCTGTTGCCCAGGCTGGAGTGCAGGGGCATGATCTCAGCTCTCTGCAACCTCCGCCTCCCAGGTCCAAGCGATTCTCCTGCCTCAGCCTCCCAAGAAGTTGGGATTACAGATGCCTACCATTGCACCTGCCATCACTCCCGGCTAATTATTTTTTGTATTTTGTTTGTTTGTTTTTTGAGATGGAGTTTCGCTCTTGTTGCTCAGGCTGGAGTGCAATAGCGCAATCTTCGCTCACTGCAACCTCAGCCTCCCAGGTTCAAGCGATTCTCCTGCCTCAGCCTCCCAAGTAGCTGAGATTACAGGTGCCCACCACCACGCCCGGCTAATTTTTTGTATTTTTAGTAGAAACAGGTTTTCACCGTGTTGGCCAGGCTGGTCTCAAACTCCTGGACTCAAGTGATCCAACTGCCTCAGCCTCCCAAGGGGCTGGGATAACAGGCATGAGCCACCATGTCT